ACCAACCCAATTCTCTCTTTTCAAGTTGGGTTGTCTTAAAAAAAAAAAATTACTTATTCACAATTTATAATTATTCGATATAATCTAAAATAAAAGATATTAAAAATTAATAAAAAAACATATCAATCTATAATTATTCGATTTATAAGTTGCTCCAAAAATAAGGAAAACATAAAAATAGATCATGAGAATAAAAAATAATAAAAATGATTAGTTTAAAAATGATTAGTTTAGATGGTTCTAAATTATCAGAAAAAATATAATAAAAAATAATTTATGATATAATAATGTTGCACCAAAAAGATTCTGCTTTTGGAAGGGGAACAATAGCTGGAAAAGGCTGGCTAATACCCAATATGTTGAGGAGCAAAAGGAGGAATCCACCTGAGGAAGGGCTCACATCTGATTAGCTAGTTGGTGAGGCAATAACTTACCAAGGCGATGAGCAGTAGCCGGTTCGAGAGGATGATTAGTCACACTGATAAATAAATTAAGATTTAAAATTACCTATTTCACAACAAAATCTTTAAATATTTTAAAATAAAATCTTTAAACCTATCCAAACTAATTTTCTACCAATTTAATTTCATGTTCAGGTATTAACTCAAAACAATCAAGAATCTTCCGTAAACACTAATCAAAATCATTTACTTTCTACAAATATATATATAGTTTATGAACACAACCAAAAAAATGATGGAAAGTAAAAAGAATTCAGTCACTTTCTAACCAACACAAAAATTTCCAATTAAAAATTCATTTAAGAATTTTGTAAAATGAAAATAATATACTTTAAAATTAATCATATATATATATATAGTTTATTAACATTAAACACATTGTGCTTTTGTTCAAAATAATTTAAATATATGTATAAGTCATAATGAATAAAACTATTATAAATCATATTCTTAAAATTAAAACTAAAACTTATGGTTAATTGTTAGTTTATTAATATCATATTTAATGTATTTAAAAATAGTATAAATGTATGAATGGTTTGTTTATTCATATTATAAATAATGGTTTTACAATAGTATGAAATATTAAAATATCTTAAAACATATACCAAAGAAAAGAAAATAATAAAATAATATAAAATAAACTAAAAATAATAAAGTAATGAAATAATATAAAAAGTAAACAAAAATAATAAAATGAAATAATGTTCTCGGTTGGAGTCAAACCTAGGCATGGGCATAAATATTTGTAGTTTGGCTGAAGTATCACTCTGATAACTTGCTAAACTTCTTAAGATATTATATAAACTTTTGTTCGGTTCGAATTAATCCAAAGTTTTTATCTCAGGGACTCGAAATCGAACCGAATCAGTTTGAGTTCAGAAAAATGAACTCAACCCAATCCAAAATGTCAATCCGACCTAACCAAACCTAACCTAACTTAATCCCTATAATTCGGGTTGGGTTCAACCGGGTTACTAGGTTGAATGTAGAAAAATTTATTTAATTGGCTGATTAAAAACAATAATATATTATAGGAGAGAAACGAAAGTCACTTACCAAAATGGTCGTTGAAGATGGAATTCATCCTCTGGACAGGAGAAATTGAGGGGCTGAAACAATAATTGTGGCACCACCAAACAGGCGTCGGGTATATTTTTGCTTTATTTACCGTGAATTTGGTTCCTCTTAATGACCCCCTCATATGAATGGTTCCCGTAAAGCGGTGGGCAGCTCTAGTTCAGGTAATTCACCTGCCCCTGAAAAATGGCAGTCCACCATGTCTTTACTCACATCCTCTAGACTGGGAGGATTTCACTGCAGGGTTTAGAATCAGAATATTAATTATTTTACCTCAAACATTTCTTAAATACATCAAGTTCCAAAATCCTCTAATTTGATATCTTTACAAAAAAAAAAAAAAAAAAAAAAAAAAAAAAAAAAAAAAAAAAAAAAAAAAAAAAAAAAAAAA